CACACACACACACACACACACATATGAACATACTCGAGGCTAACTGTTGCATATCCTAAACGTGCAAAGTGTGATTAGACTAGCCGTCTTTTCACTTTCGAGTCATTCACTTATTGGACCAGTGACCCAAGTTTAATCATAACACCACCAAGACAATTGCACACCCGTAATAGTCATGCACAGACAAAGATGTATCCGTGCTGACTGGCGAGCCGAAAGAACGAGTTGGCTGTTGTCTTGTCTTCCGACAGAAAAACCAACAGCCAACAGCCAACAGCCCAACCAGGAATAGGTCACTTCATCCAGCCGTCTCCAGGACACTTTGTATCTCGCTTCTCTATTCACTCTGAAATTAGGGCCTTAACTACAACATCACATCCGTAACCATTGTGGTGCATCCGCCAAACAACTGGCCAGCATGCGCTCTATTCCTCCACTTGCTCACTTCACAAAAGCATGCTCTCTCCCTCTAGCCCATCATCGCGCCAACCTGCCCACCCATGCCCCTGTACAGCCAGCCTGCAATCCTCCACATGCACAACATTTTATTAATCATTTCGTAGATTACTTTAACCAGGCACCGATTGCAAATTGCAACCATTCATACATCCATTCATACATCCATTCATCCAGCCAACCAGCCAGTCTTTCGACCGGCAAACCAGCATTCCAGCTATCTCACTGTTCATCCATTCATCCATTCAAATATCCATCTATTCATTCGTTCATTCAGCCAATCAAAAACGCGATTAGCCACATGGCTAGCTATTCTATTCATACTTGAATCCATAGGGCTAATCAACAAGTCTATCCAACAGCAATTCATTATCAGGCCATCTATGAACCCATTAATACAGCCAGCCAGCCTGCTACCCATCTTTTCATACGTCTCTCCAGTTAGCCATCCGAATATCCATCCATCTATCGAGGAACTCATCCATCTTTCCACCATCATAACGCCATCCATCCATCCAGTGATCCACCCAGCCAGCCATCTCTCCTGCCCGGCCATCCAATCATCCGACTAGTTGCCAAGTCAACCAATCATCCATCAATTCATCCGGCTAACCATCCAGCCTCCCATTCAGTCCGTCTGATTGCTAGTCTCCCAGACTGGCTTCCAACCCTCCATCCAGACCGGTATCTCGCGCGGCTCCTTGATCATCGATGTCTGTCAGTTTGGCCGACCATTTTCGGCCAACCAAACCTGGCCTCACCCCAAAACCCATAAAGAAATGTATACCAACAAGTGCAAGAAAGCACAATCTCACTAAGATACACTCACACACACACGGCAAGGATGACTGTGACAGTCGGCAGACAGGTCTGGTTGTTGACATTCTAATGCACACCAACAGCCACAATGACGACGTCAGACAACGCAATAAACATGCAATGGGATACACTATGTATATTTGCCCTATTTCTTATAAAGTGATAAGGGGACTGGTAGTAGAATTTTCCCACAATGCTATGAGTAGAGCCGGTG